TGATGACTTCCATGAGTTGGAGCAATTGAAATGGATGAGGAGGATTTCATGGTGTACATCATTCAACATATCTGTTTGATTCATTGCAAGCTCTAGGTTGTGTTGAAATATACTCCATACAAGGGATCGCGACATCCTTGTACAACAGCCTGGAATTACAACATCAAAACACAACAAAGATTCAGCTGCTATAAGAGTTCATAATTTTATTTTTCTGCAGTGTCACTCGCTGGAATGACTTTGGTCACTCGTGGGAGTGACTCTGTAGTCCTTCTTTAGCAGCAATTTTTTTCTCAAATACCAAGCATTAGATTTGAAACACGGACTAAATATATCAGAAATTAAGCTCATGAAGTTCCTTGGTTCATACAGTTAAGCACAGAGACTAGAAAGCAACAACCCAGAAACACCATAGTTCCAAGTTTAGATTCAGCTTTTAACAATAATGCTCAGAAAGAACTAGGTGACTCATATGCATTCGGGCATGCTAATTCTGAAAATTCTCCCTAAACTTGCTAGATATGGCATCAATGCTCATAAAGATATTAGAAGTTAATTCCAGACTAAAGTCTAGCAAGTACACATTAAGCACACCAAATTTCAGAATTAACAAGCTACTAAGGGATATGACATACAAAAGATGTCTCAAGAACCTAGAAGAAAGAAAACAGGAAGGTAAAACAAAATATATGGGTAAAAGAAATAAATTGATTTCAAACATCAAGTAGGTTCAAAGTCACTTTCCATAGTGTCTTAGAATTTTCAGCAATATGCACAAAATTTCAAAGTCAACAACTTCAGTTTAGGAACAAAATACAGTAACAACAATCGTGCGTGAACAGAGTAGACATCAATTCTCCCAAACATAAACAAAACACAGATCCTATGCAGACTAAAAGAAATCGAAAGCAAACCGTCACAGCAACTCAGTTTGTTGCAGGCACACTCGGGAGAGTGACTAATCTCACTCTCCAGAGTGACTGATATCAGAATCTGCTGCATTTTTGGATTACCAATTGAATTGGGATGGCATTGATACTTCTTCTGCTCATGGAAGCACACACATTAAACAAGAAAAAATAAAATCACACAAAAACAAACTAAAAGGAAAAGAACATGGGTTGCCTCCCATGAAGTAAGCAAAAGGTAGAATGCAAGATGCATTCCATCATCAACTCTTGTGGCTTCAAGTCATTCAGAATAACCGTCTTGATACCACAAGAATGTGCCATCAATTAGCCTATCATGCCTCCAGGAAGCATTCTCTTGAATCATCCAACATAGAAGAAAATCTATCTTGCTCCACTCTTCCAACATCTTGGGGTCCTTCTTGGTTTGACATTGATCGAAATCAATATACTCTATTTGCACACCCCAAGTGAATTCACCCTTACCTCTGCCCACATAACTCTCATCAAGGAAGATAATTGACTCTTCTTCATTCGTAAACAAAGTTATATCCCGCGAGTCAATTATCTCTCTTTCTGGAGAAAGAGTCTCATGAAATATTGAGCACGGCTCACCTTCAGCAAACAGTCCCTCTAAACACAACTCCTCATTAAGCGGGTTACTAAAATCTTGTTCCACAACTTTTTGCTTGGCAGCGTTTTTAACGCCACTTGAGGAAGTGTGTTTCGTCACTCCCTTGAGTGGGAATGGCAGAGGTGGAACATAAGGAGGTGGGTTCCGATATGGTGGTGGTTGCATCTCCACCTCTGGTTCTTCCTTTACCTCCTTCACCTCCACTGTTAGGACTAAATTCTGATGAGAAAATTCCTCTTCCTTCCTTTCTGAGATTTCATTCAACTTTTGGAGCCCTTGTTGTATTTATTCAACTCTTTGCTCCAACTCCTTTAAAGTTTCCTGCAATTTGTCCCACTCTGTTTGACTCAGCTTCCCAGTCGAGCTCACCTTCATAGCACAGGGACATTGGTGGATCAGAGTAGTAATAATCTAGCTCATAAGAATCAAAACTGTTAAAAACACAAGGGGGATTAAAACTATAACTAGGTGGAATTTGTTGGTAATTATTCTAATAATAAGAATTTCCTATATATGAAGGATAATCTGCCATTAAATTTCAGAGTTGGCACACTTTTCTCAAATCAGAAAACTAAAGGAAAAAAAAAACAAAAACAAACAAATGGTTAAAAGAAGTTTTTCGCCATCCCCAGCAACGGCGCCACTATCGGTGGATTGTCGAAACCCCCAAAATAAATTACCAACTTAAACTGTAGATAGGATAAGTCGGATCGATCCCACAGGGACGGGTTAAACTTCAAATAACCGGAAAACAAACAAGAACACAATAGTTGCAGAGTGTCACTCACTTGCACGAGTGGCAAAGTCACTCACACAACTGGCTCTGCAGAACTGAAAACAAACAAAGACAAATAAAACCTCACTCACGGGAGTGAGAATTCCGACTCAAGGGACTGACTCAACAAACTGGATATTCATTCTCTTTTCCCTATGTAATCAAGTTGTAATCTTGCACTCTTTTGGTATGAATTCATGCTCATTCAGGCACTTATATATCTCTAAGTCACTTCTGATTTCTCCTAGAGGTATCTTTATGAACTCAATTAAACTATTTTTCAATGATTAATGAAGCCATAAAGTCATTAAGTTTTCAAGCCTTAGATGAATGTTTATGCTAACCAAGTATATTCCTATCTCAATTAGAACCTTGGACTGTTACCTCCAAGTCATAAGTTAAAGCTAAATGATTCTGAACCTTGTTTACCCTTCCGGGATTCACTTAGTTCTGTGCACAATCAATCAAATGGAATTTAATCAAGAGGTAGATGAAAGCTTTAACTTCAAAACACAAAATCATCCGAATGCATTCACAAACTTAAACTACATAGGTTCCAGAGAATGAAATCTAATTAACTACACATACAAACTACAGAAAATACAAGAAAAGAAGGAAAGCATTGAGAAGAAGCAAATCTGGATGGCTGAGCAATAGGTCACTCGCCTGAGTGACAAAGAGGTCTGTTACTCCTTTTTTGCTACTACTGGACTTCTTCTTCTTGGAGTTTCTTGATCTCCTCTCCGGTCTCTTCTTCTCTCTCTGTGGTGTTTGGTGTGTTGTATGTGTGTTTCTATCCTCTCATATGTGTGTTTTTCTGCTGGTAATGCAGCCCCCTTTATAGAGCTTGTTGCATGTTCTTCTTCCAAGAGAGTCTCACCATGCTTGTGTATTTTTTATTAGCCCCAATGCTTTGTGTCTTGAATTCGGTTTTGACTGGCCTTTTTCCCTTCTTCCAGCAATGGTATCAACAGCAACATTGATCAATGTGGGTGGTTGATTCATCATTCAAGGGGACAAGCATGCTTTTTAGTTTCTATGGTGGAACACCTTTATTAACTCCTAATGTGTCTTGTGTCTTGGAGTTGCTTTTTGACCAGCTCAGCCCATGCTTCTCAATTCTGAAATCAGCAGCTCAATTATTACTGCATAAGCCCCCATTTTTCATCACTTGTTCACTCAGGTCCATCCCTTTACAAAAACATAAAACTTACTAAGTAATGTGAAATAATTCTAAGAAGCACCCCCCAAATTCTCACAAATTAAGGAATAAATTGCATTGATTTAATACAACAATTTGACCGTTATCAGTAATATCATTAAACACTCTTTCAGGATTACATTATCTTTATCTAGTTTTTTCCAAACTAGTCACTTTCCTGTTGGGTGTTCTCTGACAGCGCATAGAGCATTATTGTCGCAAAATTTATTTTCTAAAAGACATTATCCAACTTAACGACCCTATATATGGACAATTTTCTAATCGCTCTCTCATGAACACTTGTTTCTCTTTTGATGTTTCTCCAAGTTACTCATTCCCCTGTCCAATGTTCTCCAATAATGTTTGGAGAGTTTCTATCTCACAATTTATTTTTCAAAAGATATATTTCAATTTTACGATCCAATCTTATAGATAGAAATTCTTTAACACCATTAATCACTCTTACTAGAATTCTTGCTTCTCTATCGGATGTTTTAATGAGCTCTGAATAGTCCTACTATCAACTTCAACTTCACACGACTATGCCTAACTCTGTAGTCGATAACAGTCTGACATATAATCTCCATTGATGTTGTTGTCACATTGTTACAACTGGTGAGTGCTCATAGTCATTCTCCTTTCGGTTATTCTCCAACAATATCGAGAACTCTTCCGCCACAAATTTTTTTCTTTTTTGAAAGACAAGATACTTCTTAACAATCCAATCTACGAACAAGGATTATATAATAATATCATTACCCTCGTTAAGGAATACATGTTTCTCTATCTGGTATGCTCCAGACTAGTCAATTTCCTGTTGGGTGTTCTCCTGCAGCTCATAGAACTGTGCCACAAAATTTATTTTCTAAAAGACATGATCCAACTCAACGACTCAATATGTGGAGAATATTCTTTAATACCATTAAATCACTTTCTATGGTGTTTCTCCTAGTCATTTACTGTTTGAGTATTCTTCAACAATGTTTAGGGTGCTTTTGTCTCATAGTTATGTATTCCAACTTTACAATCCAATCTTATAGAAAGAAATTCTTTAATACCATTAATCACTCTTTCATGAATGCTTGCTTCTCTACCGGATATATTAATGAGCTCTAAATTGTTCTGTTGTCAGTTTAACTTCAACACGACTATACTTAACTCTGAAGTCGATAATAATCAGATATATAATCATTGTTGTTACATTGTTATAACTGGTGATAACTGCACTGATAATCGCGAGAAACGATTACAAGAAAATGCGAAAACATATTATAACATAAACACCAAAAATGCAACGATCCAAGCATAGATCAAAGTTCGGACGTAGACTTTGTCCCATAAACATTTGAAGTCTTATCTCGAAAGACTTAATCAATAAGTTCCTAAACCTAAATAATTAAAACGGCTCGATGATAATAAATTATGCATAAACTATATATATCTTAATTAGAACACTCAAAATTGAGTCAAATCTTTGGAAACAAATAATGTAGATAACTCTAGTGAGGTGATTGAAGTAGGTCCAATATTTGTAGACATGAATATAACAACCACTGCAATAATGTCGAGTGAAAAAAGAGAGTGATTTGCCATTTAGCAAATTGCAAGTAAATTAGCGGTCAAGTTTTTGTTGGTTTTGGGAGCTAAAAGAAGCTGATTTAGCACAAAGAAAGTGAAAGCCAATAACCAAAATCCAAGAAAAGGCCACAACCGCATTCGCCCGTCTCAATCCCCGTAGTCCCGTCTTCCAGAGAACTTCATACACTTTCCCAGTCCCCACCTCACCTCACCGCACCAGCTCAGTCTCTCTCTCTCTCTCTCTCTCTCTCTTTCTTTCTCATTTTTTCTTCTTTGGGCATCATCAAATGTAAAGAACAATGAATTGCAAACCCAATTAATCACTCCATCAATCACTCATCCATTTGGGTAATTCTGGGCGATGGTTCTTTTTTTTTTCCCATTCTATTTGCCTTATTCAATTGTCATCATTATTGTTACACCTCATGTGATCTGAAAGTGAAGATCTTTCTTCTTTTTTTTTTTCAGGTCTTGGTTTTTTAATTGTGGAAAAGGGCCTTGAAAAGGTGTTCCTTTTAGTAATTTGTTAAATTTTGGGAGATGAGTAAAGGGAGGCCACCGGAGCCGCTTGATTTCTTCATCTGGACTGTTGAGGTATTTATTCTTAGTTCGAATTTTTTGGTGAAGGTTTTGTTAGATCTGTTGATCAATTTTGAGCTCATGATGGTGATTTGGGAATTTGATTTCATGGGTTTCGTGTAATTGGACTTAATTTTGATTAAGGTGTGGGGGATTAGGGTGTCAAGGAATTGTGGAGCTTGGAAGTGTTTAATGGAAGACCTAAAAGTTACGGATTATTTCTCTCTATTGTATGTTTTTACTAAATGGGATGAGTTCAGAATTTAGATCTGCCAAGAATTTTTGCGTAACTTTTGACTGTTTGTTATTGGTAAATTAGTGTGGTGGGGAGAATAGTCTGGTTTCTGTATAAATTAAGAGTGATAATACATACTCGGTCTGTCCTTAATTAAGAATGATGATACACACTCGGTTGATCCTTACTGAAAGTTCTCAGTCAATCCTTATCCATTCATTCAACACAAAAAAACAAGTTTGTGCACATTCAACTTTCCTTGCCAAAAGTTACTGTTTATGGGATTGAGGGTGATTGGCCTTGTTAAGATGGTTTCGATTGTGGACAATGGTATGTCGTAGGTTCTTTGAAATAGTTTTCAATTGGACTGGCCTTGAGTCAATTTTATTATTGAAGAAGTGTATGAGAATAATAATGCCTCCTCCGTAGCTTGTCTATGCCTACATGGTTTCTGAATCTTTCTGATGTCAGAGCGACATTTTATGCTACATGTCTATGATGACGAATTGGTGACGTCTTGGCGACTGAAACATTATTGAGTCACATGTTATCCACTTTTACCAATTTGAAGCCTGCAAAATAAATTGGAGTCTGACTTTTGTTTCTGCGGTGCGTTTGGCTTTTTAATGAGTTGACTTCGGAAGTGTTATGTTCTTGAATTCTGTTGTTGCACGTGTGAAGCTCAATCTATTTACTTACTGTAACTCTTATTATACAATTGGGAGCGTCGACTGTAAGATTGACTTCTTATCTTGGGGGATTAGTAAGGAAATGGGCCCTTCAGAATCTATGTTGTGAACAAAATTGTAGAAATTGTCGGATGGGCCCAAGCCCAACTTCACTTTACGAACACTTAATCATCAATGGTTTAGGCATGCTAACTATAGTGACTAGTTGTGTTTTCCAGCGCAAGTCTTTGAAAAATATGTTTTGAAACCCCTATGCATTATACATTCATAGTTTTCTTTTTCATGATTTGCAGACTTCAAGGAGCCTTAGAATGTGTTACTTAAATAATGAATATTGTCTTTCTAAAAATCATCAATCACTCGCTTGGGGTAATTATCAAACATGAGGTGTTAGGAAGATATAGTTTAATGCTTGTTTGGCTTTTTTGAGAAAGTGAATCCTTGTTGGTATTTTGCGTCAAATTGTGAAATGCAAGTTCTCAGGAAGACAAGGTTGAGAGTAGGATGATTGTAGAAGGATATATCTTTGAATTCCCCTTTCTGTAATACCTCTGACCTCACCTGCAGCTGTGGATTTTGTCTTCCACTCACTGGTACGTGATAAAAAGCAGTAGGAAGCATATTGTGTACTAAATGTCCTGACTAAATGATTTAGCTTATTTATGGATTTCTAGCTGATCTGAAAATTTTGGCTTTATGTAAGAATTAACTTTGGTTTAATTTTGGAATTGGTCATAAAGTTTTGTTGATTTACATGATTAATTGCCTATTTAGATACTGTCTTGTTAGGAAAGGACAGATTGATTGAAGAATCCTAAATTTAACCACTTACATTTTGGATTTTTTTCCTCATGAATCTCAGGATGTTGGCTTATGGTTGGAAGAGATAAATCTTGGAAGTTACTGCCAAATCTTTAGAGAAAATGGTGTAAATGGAGAATATTTGGAAGGGATGTCGATGTTTACCACCGAACAGATACTTAGGTTCATAAGAAGGTGTCACATGAAATGGGGAGACTTCATAACATTATGCAAGGAACTGAGACGAATAAAAGGTACTTTCTTGCGCACCGTCCAAACCATGATTTTAACAATAAAAATTGTTCCTGTTATGCTCTGAATTCTTGAAATCTCTTCTTCCTCCTCCTGTCCTATCCCCCGTGCTTTTTTCTTTTTTTAATGGATGCATTTCCTCTCCTGAACATGTTAATATGTAATGACTGCTGGAAACTGAAAGCATGTTCAGGAGTAACACAACACGGTGGCCTTTTTTTTTTTTTTTTTCAGTTTGTGTTAATAAGTGGAATCTCATGTTAACTTCTTCTTCTCTCCCACACACAACCCCCAACACCCCCCAACCCCCACCCTCACCCCAACAGTATCCTGTGCTATTCACCTGTAAAACTCTGATATCTAGTCTGTTTCTATTGAACTCAGTTCTTAGGGGTTAAATCTGCTATGCAGTATAGTTTTCAGGGAATGTTAAAATACAGAAAATTGTGGGTTATCGAAAGATGGTGTCACCTTGCCTTATTTCATGTTTCATTTTCTTTTCCCTGATATTCTAAATTTTCTTCCTTGTTCTTCAGTTGCTTGCCTGAAAGGAGAACAGAAGGTTCGACGACCTTGGTGGGCCCCATCTTGCCTTTCCGCGGTCTTTGTCAAAGTTGCAAGGAGGAATAGGCAATCAAGAGTGGTTTCCTTAAAGCTGGAACCTTGATATAGATATCCTTGTATGTATGTACTTTTGGTCTTCTTTTTTTTTTTTTGCCCCCTTAATCTTTTTAGTTTTAAAAGTAAAGGAGGGAAATGCACATTTTCTTCCTTTTTTTTTTTGGGGTTTGGTTGGGAGAAGACAATTGGTGATCTGCCACCAAGATCTTTGGTTCTTTGGAGGACTTCAACTTGTGCCTTCATCTCTCCCTTTTTCCCCCTTTTGTATTAGTATTGTAGTATGCATACAGAGCTTGTTATAGTGATTACAATGTGGAACATATTCTGACATGGTGAAAAGAGATCATGGATCATGGTTCTGTATATTTGGTTTTTGTGTACCTTAGAATAACCTTCAGAGCAAGACTTTCTTTTAGAAATTATCGGATGCAATCTGCGTGATAAGCCATTTATGATTTTTGCTCAATTTCATGTATTCATAAACCGAACATTCAACTTTATTTTTGACCCCAAATGTAGAATGTAACTATCTAAAGGAATGCTATATTGGTCCTGGACCACAAAATTTCATATGTACAAAATTTAGGCATGAGATGATGCTAGAACTAATTTAGTTATGAGGAATAATTTACGATTGAAACCATAATATATGAAACTAATTCAAGAAAGTAGTCGCATGAGACGATAACCTACGACCTATGGTTAGAATTTAGAAATGCAGCGAAGACCACCCAGAATAATACTAATCCAAATATCCAATAGCTCCAGTTGATCCATCGCGGTCGATCTGATTGGTTTTTGGAGAGACTTGGATCTTCTTTCTCCTTGGAAAGTTCATCTGGGTGATCATGGCAACCCCAGTTAACTCTCGCAGGAGAGCAGTGACGCATAGTTGCATACCCCTTGGTCACTTCACTTAGGCCAGCGATGGAAGGGCGGATCCTATTCAAGCTTTTGGTCCTCTCTTTCGTTGTTTTCGCTTAATTTTCTATCCAACGCATGAATAATGCAACAAGGATGTGTCAGACAGGGAAGTGTATCATTCACTGCTATTTATATCTTATAATGTTATTAAAGTACGCATAAAAATTGTAACTAAATCAATAATTAAAAATGTTTGAAAAAAATGTAATATGATAAAATTTTATCATGGCGAACACGCAATGATTACACAATAACTTTATGAATATTCTTTATTTTTATTTTTATTGAAATAATATGTTACATTAGATGTATCTGGCCTCGCACAAAGTGAGGTGAAAACTTTCATAAGTATGACAGTACAATATGTAGAGGACACAAATGGGCAGGGAAAGCATAGGCTCCATCTCTTTAGTCTGGCGTTGCGCATCCATATATGACCATGTTTTCTTACTTCAGAGCTTCAGGTTGGCCCAAAGGGTCAAACTGGTGATAAAGCCCTTAATTTGTTTTCCCGATATAATATTCGGCTATCATATACTATAATTTAGATTACGAAAAACTAATAGAAATACTTGAGTTTTAGCATGAGCCTATTGAATAATAAAGCCCAATAAAAAGAGTTGGAAAAGAGTTAGGCCATGTTATGATGAACCCATCAACACTTACACACATGAATTTAATATATCAAATGCTTAATCATTTGATTTTATTTGATATTGGGATCTCATAACTACTTGATTGATAAAAAAACTTAATTAAATTGAGATTTAATTCTTAAGTACGTTTGATAACTACATATAGAATGTCTTAATAGATTAAGTAAGTCTGAAATGCAAGTGCAAATGTGAGTATAAAAACAAGTGATATGCCTCCCACTCAAAAAAATTACCACTACTCGATTTTTCCTTCCTAATTATATACTTTTATGTTTATGTGTTTGATGTTTTTTCTTTTATTCATTTTATTAATAATGGTTTTTATTTTTAAATTAAAAATTATTTCATTAGTATTGAATATATTGGTGTTTTATTTAATATAATAATTTAAGATACTAATAAATTCCATGATAAATATATCAAAAAATATTTACCATAAGAAAATGATATTCTTATTAATTATAAACATTATTATATAATGAAAAAGACAATTTTTTATTACATAAGCTTATAATAATATGGTAACCAATTCCTTAAAAAAATAAAATAAATTGGTATATCAATTCCTCATCCGAAAATATAGCTTATTATCCACATGCTTTTGTACACTTTATTTATTGATTATGTAGACAAAATTATAAGTCAAGATCATATTGACTTTAGATTTCGGCATTGAGACTACAAACATTTTTAGAGACTTTGGATTTCAATTTTTATCAAACGAGATAAATTTAATTTGTTTAGTGTTTATAATTCAAATTTCAAATACCAAATTAAGTTTTATCAAACAGTGCCTACTGTAACATAATTTTTCTACTATTTTTTCTTCTATGGATTTTTTTTTTTTTTCCAATTCACCCTTATAGTCTAAAGGATCATAACTTCGTCCTTTGACTATTCTTTTCATCATACGCTATGTCACACTTCATTGGTTTGACTAACTTGCTCGGTCTTTTATCATTAACCTCTCTATCTCATAAAAATATGCTTTTAAGTACCAATAATTCCAAGTTCGGGCAAATGTTCATTCATTAAGTTAGTGAGTTAGATTCAAAGTTAATTACTACATGTGTAGGGTATAAAAGGGGGGTCTACTTACCTAAGAAATCTTTGTAAAGATGATTACAAATGGGGCCATTGGATTTCTTTCACTTTGGAGTTTGAAGGGGACAAAGAACAAAGGGAGGAAGAGGGGAACAAGATTCCCTTTTTGGTTAACTCTTTGTATGGTTATTCCAAAACATCTCTGAAAGGGAGAATCACTGCGTGATTGCACGGGGGAAATTATTATAATCATCTCCATTCATCACCACCCCTTCTTCTAGAAATAAATTATTTTAATTTACATGTTTACACCATATTAATTACTGGATTAATCAATAAAATAAATGTACGGATCATCTCTTAAACCATTTAAGAGGCTGCTGGCTTGTGGTATTATGTGTGTATGTCAAATCAATTTCACATTCCAAATGTTTACTGAATATGTAAATGGAGCCATTTAATAATGATTTGAGTCTAATACTCGCTCCATTTCAAAAATTAAGTCCCTTTAAGTTTTGCACCTAAACTAAAAAAATAATTATCTAATAATTAATTTATATATTAAATATCTAAAAATATATTGGTATCATTAATTAAGAATAAAGTTGAAAAAATAGTCATTAATCTATCTAGAATTTGTAAAACGACCTACATTTTAAAAAATATCTTCAAACTTAAAAATGACCTACAAATTGAAATGGATGGAAAATATGTCATTACTAGTACTTCACAAAAAGTCAAGTTGAGTAGGTAAATGTCGTTTAAGAGAACAATAATAACTAAAAAAAAAAAAATTCCTTGGGACAAACTAGTTTAACTAAGGGATGGAAATCAAGATTAGTACTAATTGATCGTTGAATGTAGCTGATATATGCATAGTATCTTTCCAAACTCCAAAGTGCATTTTTAAGGTAACAGATGAAGTGGAAAGCACTTGTTCCTACGTAATCTCCACCGTTAAAAAGCTAGACTAATCTCCTTTTAACTTTAGCCGTGTGGGTCCTCCAACCATCCATCTATTTGATTCCAATCTCTTTTTTCTTCCTAACTTTATTTATATACTAGTTTATTATAACGCTTTTTGTCTTTTTAACTGCATCAGTTTACTAACATAATTACAACCATTTACATCATTAGCCCTACTTTTCCTGCTTGTCTGGGTTAGAACTGAATACATCACTCATTGCATTAATGTTGTTGTTTTCTAAATCCAAAAGGGCCGGGCGAAATGATTTTTTTTTATTCATTAAGGATGAAATTATAATTTTTTTAAAATTTTATTTAATTATTCCTCCCTTAATAAAAAAGGAGGGGGTGGGGGGACCACGACTATTCCTACTAATCCCTCCTTCTATGTCGCTGTTTTTTTCACACGCCTGTTTATTAGTTATTACATTGTCAAGTTCAAATGAAAATTTCAAGATATTTAATTAAATATCTAACAGAGAAAAATCAAGATAAATTAAATTTCATTTATGACGTATAAAAACTTGAAAATTGTTATAAATATATAGTAAAGAACAAAATTACAAAGCTGAGAGAAAGAACTAGTAGGGAGAGAGAACAATAGAGACGGAGAAAGAGAGAATGATTTGTGTATTATTTTTGTAGAGACTACTCCCTTTTTATATGCATAACAGATACAGAGATAAGAGCAAATAGAGATAACATCTAATCGGTGATAATATTTAATAAATATTATCTCTATACAAAGAATTTCTATACATTTCTACTAGTTTGTGGACATCCACATTATCAGATGATTATAACACTCCCCTTGGATGTCTGTTTCTTGGAATAATGCCTCGTTAAAACCTTTACTAAAAAAAATTCAGTGGAATAAAAATCTAATAAAGGAAAAAGAGTACATTTTCAAATATAACGTTGCCTCGTTAAAAACCTTGTCAGGAAAACCTATTGGGACAAAACCTCGATCAAAGAAAAAAGAATACAGCGTGGGTGAACTCCCCCTGTTTAGCACATCACTTAACATTTTTTTCAACCGTCGCATTCCAATCTTGTGAACTAACTTATCAAAAGTTGATGTTGGTAATGACTTCGTGAATAAGTCAGCTAAGTTGCCACTTGAACGAATTTGTTGAACATTGATTTCACCATTCTTCTGAAGATCATGGGTAAAGAGAAATTTGGGCGAAATATGCTTCGTTGTATCACTTTTGATGTAGCCTTCCTTCAATTGGTCAATGCAAGTAGTATTATCTTCAAACAAAATAGTAGGGACATTTTTCTCCAAGTGTAGTCCACATGATTCTCGAATATGAAAAACAATAGATTTCAACCAAACACACTCTCGACTTGCTTCATGAATTGCTATAAGTTCAGAATGGTTAGTCGAAGTTGCAGCTAAAGTCTGTTTCACAGACCGCCATGAAATAGCTGTTCCCCACATGTAAAAACATAACCAGTTTGGGATCGACCATTATGAGAATCGGATAAATACCCAACATCTGCATAACCTACCAAATCAGGCTTAGATGTTCTTGAATAGTAAAGGCCCATATCATCGTACCTTGAAGGTAGCAAAAAATATGTTTAACACCATTCCAATGTCTTCTTGTAGGTGAGGAACTATATCTAGCTAATAAATTTACAGCAAAATATATATCAGGTCGTGTATGACTAGCAAGATACATTAATGCCCCAATAATACTAAGATAAGGTACTTCTAGAGTAAGTAATTCTTCACCCTCCTTACAAGGCCTAAAAGTATCTTTATGCTTATCAAGTGTCCTTACAACTACATGTGTGCTCAAAGGATGTACATTTCTCATGTAAAATCGTTTAAGCATTTTAGCAGTATAACCAGAATGGTGTAAAAAGATGTCACTTATGGGGTGCTCAATTTGTAAACCAAGACAAAATTTTGTCTTTCCAAGGTCTTTCATTTCAAA